GTGGGGGGTTCATGTGAGCAAAAAAAGTGAAGACTAGTGGTTAGGGGACCTGGGCTGGGCGGCAGGGGGTCCCTTCACCGTTTCTGGGTGCATGGCTGGTGCACAGCTGGGTCCCACAGCTGTCCCATCCCTCCCTCTCCTCGTTACTCACTGTTCCCACTTGTGCTCAAGACAGAGAACTGCACGAAATGTGAAGTGGATCTTTTTTCCTTTTTTTACATGCTTATTTTTGACAGAGAGCGCAAACGGGGAAGGGACAGAGAGTAAGAGAGAGAGGGAGGGAGGGAGGGAGGGAGACAGAGGATCCGAAGCAGGGCAGGGGCTCAAACTCGTGAACCACGAGATCATGACCTGAGCCACCCAGGTGCCCCTGTGAAGTGGATCCTTGAGCCATTGCATCTCTCAGTTTTACAAGCCTTGTGACTCTGGCCAAGCTAGTCACATCTCTCTAAGCTTCATTAATAATAGTTCAGCACATCAGCACAACACACAGAGCATCACAAAGTTCTACACTTCCTGAATTGCCAAATAGCTGGTGTGTTCAGGAGTCCCGGGCTTGGCTCTTGAACAGGGGCCAGGCCTGGAACAGAAATGACTGCGGCTGTGGGTGTAGGAGCTGGAGGGAACCCGTGCGTGACCTCCAGAGGCAGCGGGAGGTCTGGATTTTTATGGAAAGCCTGCAAATTGGCTAAATTTTTTTTTGTTTGTTTTAATGCTTTTATACTGTGCAGCACAGAAGAAAATGCAGCTTCCAGACACAGACAGCTCAAACGCCTGGCAGCTAGTTGTAACCTTTGGTACAGACAGTAAGGACTCAAGGCAGGGAGTGAGTGGGCTGTGTGGGCTTTTTTGCTGTTGGGCTCTGAATTATAGTGAAGTGAGTAGATTCTTTATGAACTTGAATTCTGGGTGTCCCTTTGGTGTCTTGAAAGATCTTATAATGCAGTGTGATGAGGAAGAAAGCTTTTATACTTTCCCAACCATCAGGAATTTTCACTCAGCATCTCAAGGGCTGACCTGAGTTCAGCAATGTGGAGTGGAAAAAGTTACTGCGCTTCGTTGCGGAAGGAGCGGCACAAGTGGTAGAGGCCCATTTTGACACGTGGAAAATAAAATTGCCCGTGGAAGAGAACAGACAAAGGCGTAATATGTCCCATCTGCCCGGTGGCAAATATATATCTAAATAATTATCAGAGTTTTGAGAGAGTGCCCTGTTCAGTGGGTACCCATGTACAAGCCATTGTGCTGGGCACTCTGAGGAACATGCATGCTTTGTCACCCATCCATTAGAAGGCATTACTCGAATGAGCAAGACGGAAGAACCTGGAATGTGTCTGGTGGTTTGTGCAAAAACTGCGTGGGGAGCCGAAAGCATGCACGACCACTCGGTGAAGATACGAGAGGCCTGGGGACAGCTTCTGTGCAGGAAGACATATTCTACACTGAATGATCTTTTGCACAGTGTGATTTCTTTTTTTATCACCTGCACTTATTACTTAAAACAACAAAGATCCGGGGGCACCTGGGTGGCTCAAGTTGGGTGAGCCTGACTTTGGTCATGGTCTCACGGTATGTGGGTTAGAGGCCCGCATCCGGCTCACCGCTGTCAGCGTGGAGCCCACTTTGGATCCTCTGTCCCCCTTTCTCTCTGCCCTTCCCCCACTTGCACTCTCTCAAAAAAAACCATTTATTTATTTTAAATGTTTATTTTTGAGAGAGAGAGAGAAGCATTCCACGATAAGCTACAACATTTGCCTTTAACCTAGATCACCAAACACATTTTTCCCTGGCAGGAATGCTTCTCACATTCAATTTCTGCTCCTTTGCTGTTCCTCTGAAAAAGCTCTGCCCTCACGGCTTGTGGAAGCAGACCAAGGGAAACAAGATGAATGAGCTGGCCCTCGCCTGGCCCTGGCTGAAATGGTGGCCACGGTTTTCCCCCAACCTGCTTTTCTGAAGCCTCTGCAGAGCCTGCTGCCCAGGGTTCATTTCCTTTCCCTACTCTCACTCCTGTCCTCTCTTATGGCTGCAAATTCTATTACATCCGGGGCTGGCCACATAGTTCCCCACACTGAGCCCTCGGTAAGCCATGTTCCCATCTGGTGCCAGATCTCAGTGGCAGGTACTCATTTAACATTTTCCTTAAATTGGCTATTTAAAAAAAATCCAGGTATACCATGGCGTTTTGCTTATAAAGGCATCGAGACATTGAAGTGTCGTGACTAAGAGCAAGGGGCTCGAGAAACAGCCCACCAGTTCAAGCCCTGGTCTGCCACTTCGAAGTTAAGTTGGTCAAGTTACTTCTCTTTTATTCAGTTTCCCTCTTTATTTTTTTTATTAAAAAAAAATTTTTTTTTTAAATTTCTGAGAGAGAGAGGGGCGCCTGGGTGGCTTAGTCGGTTAAGCGTCCGACTTTCGCTTAGGTCATGATCTCACGGTTCGTGGGTTCGAGCCCCGCGTCGGGCTCTGTGCTGACTGCCAGCTCAGAGCCTGGAGCCTGTTTCGGAGTCTGTGACTCCCTCTCTCTCTGACCCTCCCCTGCTCATGCTGTCTCTCTCTCTCTCTCCTAGAAATAAATAAAACATTAAAAAAAATTTAAAAAAAATAATAAAAAAATAAATTTCTGAGAGAGAGAGAGACAGACAGAGAGACAGCGTAAGCAGGGGAGGGTCAGAGAGAGGGAGACACAGAATCTGAAACAGTCTCCAAGTTCTGAGCTGGCTTTCAGCACAGAGCCCGACGCGGGGCTTGAACCTATGAACCGTGAGATCATGACCTGAGCTGAAGCCAGATGTTTAACTGACTGAGCCACCCAGGCGCCCCTCAGTTTCCCTCTTTGTAAAACGGGAACAATTACATGGGGCCGGCTGTATGGGTGGAAGTATGAAGTCAATCTCCCCTTCCCGAGGTCCTAAGGGATTGCAATTTCCTGCAGAGATGAAGTCGGTATCCGGTTTGGGTGGGCAAGAGGCCACGTAGCCCTGGTCTGAGATACAGAGGGCGCAACCCCAGCCCTCCCTGGGCCAGCAGTAGTCATGGAGCAGGGTCGGGGAGGGGTAGGAAGAAGCCCCAGGGCAGCCCCAGTGGGCCAGTGTGGCTAAGAACCTGTCCCAGGGAGGCTATCGGATCACCCATGAGCCCAGCTCCAAGGCCCCTACATGCTTTTTAGTTCCAACATACTTCATTTACAAAACACACAAAGATGGTACGAATTTAAAGTACAGGGTACTCCTGAGTAGCTGGGTGACCACAATGATCAAAGTCTGCATTACTGCACGCCAGAAGTCAGTGCTGCTACCACCTAGGGTTACTACGCAAGTTAAGTGAATGAACGCAAGCACTGATCTAAGACCTGGCATCTATTAAGTACAATATACGTGTTGGCTATTATTGATAGCGCTACTATAAATAGAAAACAAATATTTTTCAAATATGCATTTGTTCCACAAGTATGTATTATTATTCCGTGCTACTTGCTGTTTTAGGTCCTGGCACATTTATCGGTGAACAGTGAACGTTTCATTATTCGCTTGCTACATGATCTCAGATGCTTCCAGAACACCTCATGCCTTGACTTTCGGGACGAACTGCCAATGGCTGGGTATACAACGAGACACCCACAGGTGTTGAGTGCCCAGGTGGCTCAGCTGCTTGAGCATCCAACTTTGGCTCAGGTCATGATCTCAAGCCCCACATCAGGCTGTCAACACAGAGCCTGCTGATGATCCTCTGTCCCCCTTCTCTCTGCCCTTGCCCTGCTCTCTCTCAAAAATAAACATTAAGGGCGCCTGGGTGGCTCAGTCGGTTAAGCGTCCGACTTCGGATCAGGTCATGATCTCTCAGTCTGTGAGTTTGAGCTCTGCATCGGGCTCTGTGCTGACAGCTCAGAGCCTGGGGTCTGCTTCAGATTCTGTGTCTCCCTCACTCTCTGCCCCTCCCCTGATCACATTGTCTCTGTCTTTCAAAAATAAATAAATATTTAAAAAAAAAAACATTAAAAGAACACACACCCACAGTTTTTTTGCGCAAAGGTAGTGAGCTAGTGGGAACTAGACTGTTGAGTTCAACAGGCTCCCTCATTACCTTCTAGTCCTACTTTGGGACCTACTTTAAATCTTCCACAGCACATTTACCCACAGACAGGCTGGAATCAAGAAACTTCAAAGGCACATTGTTAGGATGCTTAGCAGTTCTGGCCTCGGTCAACTCTGCCCCACAGCACTTTCTAGGAAGATGGAACCGAACTTTTAATTTAACATTTAACCATCACACGTGCATAGTGGTTACTTTATCGGTTAGCACAGCTCTAAATATTTGGCTTTATAGGGCTTCCCAAGTCACACCCTTAATGATATTAATGATATAATCATTTAGTATTTCCATTCATCTAACATGCTCAAACTCTATTCCAGATAACAAGGGCTGAATAGGACTATAACACATCACTGGGCGAATCAAAAAATCCCTACTGCACAGTCTGGGAAATGTGGTGACCTTGTTTCCATCACAAAGCGAGTTGGCGACAGGGCTCGCCCGAACTACCGCCTCCTGACTTCCTCCTGGGAGCTTTGACTCCCGGGTAAGGGATGCGCAGTCACACCCAGAGGGCGTGAGCCGGGATGGCTTTTCGAGGTTTAGAGCAAGCAGCAGAACTGGATTCAGTTCTCAAGTACTTTTAGAATACAGACTGCCTTAAACTCGTACATTTTGTTCAAGTCCACCAACGAGAGTAAGGAGGCTGTCTGGGGGAAATAGAATTAGAAGAGTCTCGTAGGGGAGCAGCTCAATCTCAGCCCATCCGAACCCGCCTTATCTATTGTGATTTAGCTTGCACGGTATTAAAAAACAGATGAGTAGTTGGGCGCGTTAACAGGTTGGTTTTGAACAACTCGTCCAACAGGCTTAGTAAGTAGGTACAACTCCCTCTCCAGCCCGGCTCCCAGCGCCAAACGGCCACCTGTCCCGCGGGCGCGCGCGGGGCGCGCCCATCCGCAGCCTACCTGCGCGCGCCGCACCATCCGCGCCTCCGTCCGCGCCGCCCAGCCCCGCGGCCGCGCGCAGCGCGCTCCCGCAGCTCGCCGACAGGTTGCCCGTGGCCTTCCGCGCCAGGGTCAGGATGGGCGCCGACCAGCCCTCCGGCCCCACCCGCGGCTTGGCCGCGCTCCGCAGCTCGCCAGGGCTGGGCAGCTGGCTTCGGTCCACAATCTCGAACTCTTCTCCCGGCTCCGGTCCCGGCGCCGGCCCCGGTTCCCGCCCCGCCGGGCACCCACTTTCGCCGTCGGCCATCTTAGCCGAGTCACGTGGCCGCGACGGGCGGAGGACTCGGCGCGGGCGGGCGCGCGGGCGGGCACTCTCCAGCCTTCGGCAACTCCCCCCCTTTTGTTCCGTTCGCGAAGTTCTTCCTCTTCACTGCCCCCCCCCCTTCCTTTCTTTAACCTTAAAAAGGTTCTGTAGAGGGGCGCCTGGGTGGCTCAGTCGGTTAAGCGTCCCACTTCGTTTCAGATCATGATCTCACGGTTCTTGGGTTCGAGCCCGCTCTGTGCTGAAAGCCAGCTCAGAGCCTGGAGCCTGCTTCAGATTCTGTATCACCCTCTCTCTCTGACCCTCCCGTGCTCATGCTGTTTGTCTGTCTCTCTCTCAGAAATAAATAAAACATTAAAAAAAAGGTTCAGTAGAGTACAAATCATAACATAAGAAGCACCCCTATTCCCACCAGTCGGGAGGACTTGTGTCCAAAAAAATGACTCTTGTCCTTCCTCCCCTAACTGGGTGCCCCCAGCCTGACTTAGAACACAGTCCCCATGGCTTTGGTTTTCTTCATGACACTATTTCCTCTTTTTAATTTTCATTTCATGATTTATTTTTTCTGCTTCGTCACTTTTCTGCAGCAGTCTTCAGAACAAGCCCCAGAAGGGCGGGTAAGGAAACTGGGACAGGCAAGGCCGGAAATCAGGAGTTTTTATTAAAACAAACAATCCCAAACCATAAGAGACAGGTTGGCAGCACTGGGAATCAGAAGGTCCAGATTCTATTAATTAGTTAAGAGAGGGTAATAAGAGACCTTGCCTCATTGTTAAATAAGATTTTGCAGAGGGGAGTGCACGGCAGACGTTATCAGTTATGACCAGCGTTACCCAACAGTGTGGCTTGGGCAAGACGTTACCCTCAGAGAGCTCGGAATCACTCCCAGTCTGTTTCCTCACTTGGAAAAGAAGGGGATTTGACTAAGGAGAAACATTTCATTAGCATTTGACACTCTTTGCAAGGTGCCCCACATGGGCCTTATCAAACTAGGAGAACCCTTGTGTTTGGTTCCCAGAGCGTTTAAATCATAAATTTAAAAAAAATATATGATGTTGCACCTGGGTGATGATTCAGTCCGTTGAGCCACCGACTTTGGCCCAGGTCATGGTCTCACTGTTCCTGGGTTCGAGCCCTGCATCTCTCTCCCTGCTGCCAGTGCAGAGCCTGCTTCTGATCCTCTGTCTCCTTCTCTCTCTCTGCCCCTCCTCAGCTCACACTCTCTTAACAATGAATAAACATTTTTTGAAAAATATGAGGTCATTGCAGATATTTATAAATCAAAAGATTTGGCATAAAAATCTGGATCTTGGCTCTTTTGAAAAGTTGGAAGCTTTGGCAGCTCAGAATATAGTCCCTGATGTCAGCAAGCAATGGCTTGTCCCTTTAGAATCTGTGTTCTCCCAGCTGTCTTCACTGGGTCTTATGATGTGTCTGGTCCCTGAAAGCCAGTTTTTTTTTTTTTTAATGTTTTACTTATATCTGAGAGAGAGAGAGAGACAGCATGAGCAGGGAAGGGTCAGAGAGAGAGGGAGACACAGAATCTGAAGCAGGCTCCAGGCTCTGAGCTAGCTGTCAGCACAGAGCCCGGCGCGGGGCTCGAACCCACGAACCGTGAGATCATGACCTGAGCCAAAGTCAGACGCTTAACCCACTGAGCTACCCAGGCGCCCCAAAGCCAGTTGTTTTCTATGGAGAGAGTGAGAATGGTGTTTGGGCTGTCACAGTGATGGAGGGGATCTTTCTAGTCTTTACTGGAGTGGAGTGAAGAGGGGAGTATGAGATACCAAAGAGGGGACCCAGATCCTTCATGACTTTTCAGTACGCATGGACATTCATGAAGGTGATCAGAGCCTGTACCTAATCCCATTTTGCATAAAAACATAAACTCCTTTCAGAAAAATAGTGTTAGCATTGTACCAGACTAGGTTATGCTTCAATAACAAAGAACCCCCAAATCTCAGTGGCTTACCGTATCAGAAGTTTGTTTCTCATCAGGCTCCACTTGGGAACCCAGGCTCTGGGAGGTTCTATTATTTGGGGCAGGTCTTTTTTTTTCTTTTATTTATTTTTAGAGAGTGAGCACACAAGCAGGGGAGGGACAGAGAGACAGGGAGAGAGAGAATCCCAAGAAGACTCCATGCTGTCAGCCTGATGTGGGGGCTTGAACCCATGAACCATGGGAGCATGATCTGAACCAAAATCAAGAATCAGAGGCTTAACCAACTGAGCCGCCCAGGTGCCGCTGGAGCAGGGTTTTGCATTCAACACTAAATGCCATAGCCCTGACATGATGAACTTCACTTATATACATTTCTTTCCTTGTCTTCTGTTGTCTTGTCTTCTCTTAGAGAGTGCCAGTGAGTGAGGGGCAGAGAGAGGGAGAGAGAGAGAAAATCCTACAAGGAAGAGAGAGAGGGAGTGAGAGAGAAAGAGAGAGAGGTGGGTTCACACTCACCCGATGCAGAGCTTGAACTCACGAACCATGAGATCTGACCTGAGCCGAGGGTCAGATGCTTAACTGACTGAACCATGCAGGTGCCCCTCTCTTATATACATTTCATTGACCGAAGCAAATCACATACCAGCTCTAACTTCAAGGGAGTTAGAAAGTTCAATCATACTACTGGGGTGCTTGGGTGGCTCCGGTCATGATCTCAGGGTTTGTGGGTTCGAGCCCTGCGTCAGGCTCTGTGCTGACAGCTCAGAGCCTGGAGCCTGTTTCAGATTCTGTGTCTCCCTCTCTCTCTGACCCTCCCCTGCTCATGCTGCCTCTCTCTCAGAAATAAGTAAAACATTAAAGAAAAAAAAAAAGAAAGTTCAGTCGTACTACTGCCTGGGGAAAGGAGAGCTGGGAATACTGGTTAGCAACAGAAGTACCGTAATTGTACCCCGAGTCTTCCCAGAAAGCAGTTAAACTGATCTGCTCAGGATCACAGAGCTATTAACCATGTCAGAAAAGTACATTGCCTACAAAGGTTTTGCTTTTGGCATGAAGACAGTACCTGGGCTGTCACAATCATGGGGATTTTAGTACAAGTGTCTGGTTACCTTATTTCGATAGTATGTATTATCGAAGGGGGTGTGATGGGCTTGATAAGGTAGGCAACTGAATTTGCATGGAACTATCTCAAGTCTAGCAATAGACACTGTAGCTCTAAATTCTTTCAAATTTTACTTTATATGAGGCTGACTTTTGAGAAAACTTGGTAAGACGGGACTGCGATTTGGAGCAAACTTGGTGAAGAGAATGTGTATGATTATTTTAGGTACAGAGTACCTAAAACCTAATGTGTTTGCTGTTTTCTAGAATTTTCCATATACTTGAAATGTTCTATAACAATTAAAAAGTCCCTACCTCCAGGGGCACCTGGGTGGCTCAGTCAGTTAAGCACCTGACTTCAGGGCAGGTCATGATCTCACAGTCCGTGGGTTCAAGCTCCTGAGTCGGGCTCTGTGCTGACAGCTCAGAGCCTGGGGCCTGCTTCAAATTCTGTGTCTCCCTTTCTCTCTGCCCCTCCCCCATTTACACTCTGTCTCTCAAAAGTGAATAAATGTTAAAAAAACAAAGTCCCTACCCACAAACATGTAGCCCAGTCCTCCCTCCCCCTGTTCTCCTACTTCCCCCACATCCTTCTTGCCCTTTTCTCGAACCTTCTCCAGACCTGTTTTTTAATGCCTTGAGTCTCACCTGTCTGCTACCTCCTCCTGCGTGTGATTCTACCTCTGCCCATTGCCTGCCTCATTTTTCTTTCTCCTCTTCCCAGGGATTCTTACTACATTTCTTAGACTCCATTTCTCACATCTGGCCCTTCTTTCTCAGTGTCCCTGCCTGCATGGATCCTCATATCATTTTTGCAGACACTCTGCAGGACATCTTGAGTCTTGGGGCTTTACTTCCTCCGTTCTATTCTCAACACCTCAACCTTTCTAAACCTTTCTAAGACCCAGCACTGATTCTTTCACCTTCCTGCTTACAGATCTCTTATGGCTTCCCATTAAAAGGTGGCTTTCTCTGATCTGCATCCTGTGGTTGCAGATGGCTTATTCTCTCCTGATGTGGACTTTATTTCTTTTTTATTTTTTTAAAGTTTATTTACTTATTTTGAGAGACAGAGAGAGAGAGCAGTGGGGAAGAGCAGAGAGGGAATCCCAAGCAGGCTTGACACTGTCAGCGCAGAGTGTGACGCAGGGCTCGAACTCATGAACCGCAGGATCATGACATGAGCTGAAACCAAGAGTCGAACGCTTAACTGCCTGAGCCACCCAGGTGCTCCAATGTGGACTTTAACACCTCAGGTGAGTTTAGTGGTTTGCCTGATCCCAAAGCCACGTCCAAAGAGACAGAGCCTCCTGGCTTCACTGGTGCTGTGGGTTGGCCCATCAGCTGAGAGCCCCTAGGGCTGAAGTCATTCTCTCTACATGTACACGTTTTACACTTTGGTTGGCACTTTGTAATCCTCAGTCTTTGGACATAGTTGGTACCCTGCTGCCGGGAACGGCCAGTTAAAGCCAAGTCACTGCTCTGAATGATGTAATACGAAGGTTTAAGGTTGCACCTCCTAATCTTTTTCACACCATGACCCACCCAGAACATGAAAATGTTTTAGAACACAGGATTGTGAATGGACAGAGGTAATATTTGGGGAATGTGACTTCCTCAGACTTTACCAGGTTACCCCTGGGTCAAGGTCATTAGTATTTCTGCACCGCGAATAGCTCAATAGCCTCACTAGTTGAGAAGCTCTGCTCTGCTCTAAGGAGAGTTGAAGCCTTGTCTATTTCCTGGTGAGGAATATCATGAATGCTTTTAAATTTAAGCCCAAGGAAAGACAGACACAACTGAGTAACAAATATCAGTGTTTGGCCCCATCTAGTGGTCTAAAGTGGACTCGGGTTTCTAACCGTCTAGGATTTGACTATTTCCATTTATCCATCCATCGATTCATCCATCCACCCACCCATCAATCCTTCAATACCCATTCTCTCATCCATA